CGGGTATATTACAGTGACACCTGGAAGCTATATACACCCTGGCACTGACTTCCCTGGGGCCCTGACTCCAACAGACATTTCATTCTTCAGGCTGAACATGGCACTTCCCACACATTACACAGCTTGTACTTCAGGAAGTGTCAGGTGCAGCACTGAGCGTCAGGGTGGCAGACCAGTCGACTTCCAGCTCCATTCAGGTGGGACAAACAGCCTGCCAGTGGGAAGGGGGTGCGGGACTATGTAGATAGCGGTGTCTGGGGCAGTGCGCAGGTGCTCCCTCATTGTGGTGGCAGGAGGGGCCACATGGGCACTGTGCTCCTCACTCACACAATGTGACCAGTACATGAGGGGGCTATAAGGTAAGCTGGGCCACCATAAGAAATCATGGGCCCCCCCATGCAGCCTACCTGCTTGGCCCCCCTGCAGACCTGATGGGGCCTGGTGTGGGAAAACTACCGGTATCCCCCTATAATGAACCTTGCCCTGGGTGCCCAACGCTAGTGAGGCCCACAACGCTTACATTACATTTTAGGTTGTAATGGGCCATTAGGGTGGGCCCAAATGTCCATATTTCTCACATATCTCATCCCATAAACATATTCCCCAAAGAAGAGGATTATGTCTCATTTTAGGAATAGTGGGCAGCGCCATGCTCATTCTTCCTTACTGCCCCTTGGCAAACTACATCCAGAACCATTGTACAGAAAATACCAGCCAGCTTCCGAACATTCCGCACGGTCCTTTAATATTTCCTGATCTCTTCTTACAGGAACCATCGTCAGCGTGGGAGACCCAAAGAAAAAATACACGAGGTTCGAGAAGATCGGGCAAGGGTGAGCATTTCTTTTTTCTTTTTCTTAAAGGAGAACTATGAGGGGAGTGCTTTTCACTCACCTCATAGTTCTAGCCGACCTGTGACAATGAGACTGTCACAGGTCGGCTCAGTAGATCGGGAGGTGAGCGAACACATGTCGGTGTTCGCTCACTTCTCGATCCTGTCACGGCTCTCTGCCCTGACAGGGGGAGGGGATGGATTCCCCCTTCCCGCTCCGATCCACCAGCGTTGACTGGCGGAACGGACGGGAGAGGGGGCGGGTACAGCTGGCTCTGCCTCTAGATAGGTCGTGAATAGGTCGATGTCGTGATCCGCTCCGGCTGCGGCGTCTCAGTATATAGTGAGCTTTAGCTCGCGGTATACTGAGCTTAGGAGACGGGAGGACACTAGTTTGTGTCCTCCCGTTACCCTAAGGAGAACTATGGGAAAAAGCCCTGACCCCATAGTTCTCCTTTAAATGAAAGTTCTGAAATTGCACCTTCAGCATTCACAGAGCCCCATAGGGCAGTAAAGCCCTATAAAAGTCTATAGGGCTCATCCACCTCTGGGTCGGGAGACAGACCCCATGGGCTCCGCCGGGTGCTGTATCTCTGTACAGTTATACAAAGCAGCAAACCTGGGTTTTGTTTCACATCAGCCTTAAAGGGTTAAACATGGACTTGTGCTGTGACCATTCGATGGACAGCCCCCCCCCCCCCCCCCCCTAATTCGATGGACAGCCCCCCCCCCCCCTGTATACACACCCCTGTCCCTCTTTTTTGCCCTGTGGGAGGGCAGAGAAATACCCGGTACTTCCAAATATGGAGTAGCATGTGACTCACACCACTTCTCCCATGTGAAAGACCTGGTGCTTGCTGATTGGCCTATTCCTGTCACATGGGGGCGGAGAGTTTTCCAAGCCCCGGGGTTGACGTGGAGCTTACACATGGCTCAACTTCAATGGCCTATTGCAAGTGAATAATAAAAAATCATTTGTGGAAAGGAAATATGATGGAAGGAAGCATTTCAAGTACTTTTCCCTGCAAGTCTTTAAGTTGGTGACAGGGCCTCTTTATATGCGGTGTGCCATGGTAGCCTCTTGCTGTGGCCCCCGGTGGTTTCACAGTGAGTGGGAGAAGGGCTCTCAGGTGAAAAGAGTTCCGGTAATAACCCCAGAAACCTGCTTCCACCTGTCCCGGAATGTGGACTGAATACAAAGCCGGATCACATATCAGGAAACAAAGTCTCAGCGACACCTGTAATTACCTGGAGGCCGCTTACATTGCACTGCGTAGTAATTCACTGCGTTCATTGTCATCGTGGATTCTACTTCCTGCTGGACTCTGAATGTCACTGCACACTATAATCAAAGCTACAGTGATTACAGGAATACTACCGTCTCTTTAAATGGGTTAACCTCTTCAGTGCCAGCCCGTATATATGACTTTATTACCATCCCCCTCATGTTCTGACTGCCCATCGCATTTCTTGAGACCCTAAACTGCCCCCAATTTGTTTTGTTGGGGACATGAGGGGCTGATTTATAAATCTTCCATACAGCGTATTGTCGGGCTATTGCCACTAGATGGCGCTGGAAATTTCTATGCTCCTCATCGCCATCTAGTGGTGGTAGTGACATGTGAACGGCACTCGTCCAGCGATACACTGGGAGAATGATTTATAAATCCAACCCGTAGTGTATACAGTGCAACAGTCAATGTGTGGGGGTGAGGACTATGTAATGGGCAGACTTCAGTGGTCAGGAGATGGGGCCCTCTTATGGTGGTGGTTGGTCAGTGATGTGTGCCCTATAGCTGTTTCCCCATAACACTGGTGCACTGTGAGCCCCCTTTATGATCAGTATACCCCTTTGCTGCACAGTAAGCCCCCTTTATGATCAGTATACCCCTTTGCTGCACAGTGAGCCCCCTTTATGGTCAATATACCCCTTTGTTGCTCAGTGTGCCCCCTTTATGATCAGTATACCCCTTTGCTGCACAGTGAGCCCCCTTTATGGTCAATATACCCCTTTGTTGCTCAGTGTGCCCCCTTTATGGTCAATATACCCCTTTGCTGCTCAGTGTGCCCCCTTTATGGTCAGTATACCCCTTTGTTGCTCAGTGTGCCCCATTTATGGTCAATATACCCCTTTGCTGCTCAGTGTGCCCCCTTTATGGTCAGTATACCCCTTTGTTGCTCAGTGTGTCCCCTTTATGGTCAATATACCCCTTTGCTGCTTAGTGTGCCCCCTTTAAGGTTAATACACCCCTTTGCTGCTCAGTGAGCCCCCTTTATGGTCAATATACCCCTTTGTTGCTCAGTGTGCCCCATTTATGTTTACTATACCCCTTTGCTGCTCAGTGTGCCCCCTTTATGGTCAATATACCCCTTTGCTGCTCAGTGTGCCCCCTTTAAGGTCAATATACCCCTTTGCTGCTCAATGTGCCCCCTTTAAGGTCAATATACCCCTTTGCTGCTCAGTAAGCCCCTTTAAGGCCAATACACCCCTTTGCTGCTCAATGTACCTCTTTATGGTCAATATACCCATTTGGTGCTCAGTGTGCCCCCTTTAAGGTCAATACACCCCTTTGCTGCTCAGTGAGCCCCCTTTATGGTCAATATACCCCTTTGCTGCTTAGTGTGCCCCCTTTAAGGTCAATATACCCCTTTGCTGCTCAGTGTGCCCCCTTTAGGGTCAATATACCCCTTTGCTGCTTAGTGTGCCCCCTTTAAGGTCAATATACCCCTTTGCTGCACAGTGAGTCCCCTTTATGGTCAATATACCCCTTTGCTGCTTAGTGTGCCCCCTTTAAGGTTAATACACCCCTTTGCTGCTCAGTGAGCCCCCTTTATGGTCAATATACCCCTTTGCTGCTTAGTGTGCCCCCTTTAGGGTCAATACACCCCTTTGCTGCTCAGTGTGCCCCCTTTATGGTCAATATACCCCTTTGCTGCTCAGTGTGCCCCCTTTATGGTCAATATACCCCTCTGTTTTAGGATACACGTACCTCTGCGCCCGGGTGAATGAGCCCTGACCGGCACCCCCTGGAAATGCAGAATAGTTCCCCTTATACTAGAAGTGAACGATACACCAGCGCACTTTGCTGGCAGAGCGGCCGGTGTTAATCCCTTCCAAAAGTCGCGCCCAATTAGCGTGACCCATAACGAGGTGCCACTTCCCACTCCCAGCGCTCTCATTGGGATCTGTATGTAGCACACACGTCCAGCCCGATTTCTCGCTCCCGGCGTCCGCAGCATCTTTGGTGTCACCGGCCTCTCCGGGGAGGGGGGGGGGCACTCACCTGTTCATCTGCCTCTAAACGTTCTCTTGGCAGAGAGGCTGCACGCAGATTCCTGTGTTCTCCTGCGTTCTGGTCCCGGGCCAGTGGACACGCTGGATTGGCTCAGAGCCGGGGAATGCCGCTGCGTCCGCTATCAGCATGAATGTTCCTCTTGTGTTCCTGTCGGGCAGAGCTCAGCCTGGGCACATATGGCGTCCGATGAAATGCCGCAGTGCTGGATGTTCTGCCCGGAGATGAAGTGGGCCAGAATCAGTACATTCCTGACATGTCACAATATACGGCAACAGTATCAGTGTTTTAGGTTCACGCTATTGTGTTGCAGTAACACGCGGCAATGCACATTACTTGCGTTGGCGTGATGCAGCGCCATTCTCTCGAATCACTCTCTGCCATTTTGAATGGAGACCTAATGCACCTTGCCATCGTTCCAACGCAATGCGTGACAACACACAAACTTGTAAAATCAATAGTATGTGCGCCGTGTTTGGTGCGATCTAGTGTACTTGAATAGGCCACCGTGCGGCATAACGCACGTCAATGCGACGCAACAGTGTGAACCCAGCTATAATATTGTACCTTTTAATCAATCAAAATTAGCCTTTGATCTCCAGCCCAGTGACTTTGCCTGGGCTGAGATGACGTCATCAGTCTGCTGCAGGCATGAGGAAGCATTTCCTTGGTCTCCTCTCCCCCAGTGATCAGTCTGCTGCAGGCAGGAGGAAGCATTTACTTAGTCTCCTCTCCCCCAGTGATCAGTCTGCTGCGGGCAGGAGGAAGCATTTCCTCATTCTCCTCTTCTCCCAGTGATCAGTCTGCTGCAGGCAGGAGGAAGCATTTCCTCATTCTCCTCTCCCCCCAGTGATCAGTCTGCTGCAGGCAGGAGGAAGCATTTACTTAGTCTCCTCTCCCCCAGTGATCAGTCTGCTGCAGGTAAGAGCAAGCATTTCCTCAGTCTCCCCTCCCCAGTGATCAGTCTGCAACATTCTAACTGCCGGTCACAAGGTGAGAGGCTGCAGCAAAGGCTGATCTGTTTCAAACATTTGGGAACACGGCCAAGAACTGCTCAGGTGCAACTGGCATTGTGGCTGAACAATGGCTGAGGGCCCATTCACACCAGAGCTGTGCATTAATCACACGGTTCCATTTGATTAACGCACCTACTGTGCTTTTACAGTGTGGGAGGTGCATTGTGTTATATACACACCTCCCGTCCACAGTGCACTCCACCACGCCACAGGTAGTGGGAGGAGTCATTGGTGGAATCATCCTTGTGTCCCGCCCAGTAACTTCCCCATGCAGCGTTATTGGTGGAATCACCCTTGTGTCCCGCCCAGTAACTCCCCCATGCATGAGTGACGCCTATCTCTGCACAGCGCCCGCTAATCCCACCGCTGACAGTAAATTTGGGTGTGGTAACGGGTGCTGAAACACCCATAAATCTGCTCTGTCCATGTCCTTCGCTGCTAGTAGCACAGTGCTTTATGGGCCACATAGTCCCTTGTAACGTGCGGCAATCATTGCCTTGCAAAAGTTCTTCTGAGCTGCTTCCCGCCTCCATCATCTCCTAGGACAAGGGGAAGAAGGCTCGTGGAATGGTCACATGACCCTGACTTTAATTTTTTTTAAAGGTATTTATAATGAGATTTTATATGATACAATTGTAGATTGAGGAGGGGAAAGGGGTGAAGCTGGGTTGGTAACAGTGCTGCACGCTGGATCCGTTGGCCATTGTGCTGGTAAAATGTTGCAGGATGATATCGATCCTATAAATGGGAATAACATGGAATGTTGTATCTCACGCAGGGCATCAGGAACGGTGTACATCGCAGTGGAAGTGGCCACCGGTCAAGAGGTAAACATTCGTCACTGACATGCTTGTCCTATGAATTTTCCTTTAACTCTTATATGTTAGATTGCTGTGCAGCAGGAAGAGGCAAACTCTCCACCTGTGACAAAACCACAAATCCCATCATGCATCTACCCCTGGGGGCCATGCCTGTGGCTGTCAGCTGGAGGGCTTGAGTTTGCCTTCCCCTGCTGTACAGGAAAAAACAAAGGTAGAGAGAGACTTATCCAGCATGTAGTCCCATCACAGTCACAAATAAGAATCCTTAAAGGGAAAAACCACCTTGAGGGTAGAGTCCACCTTAAATCCACCTTGAGGGTAGAGTCCACCTTAAATCCACCTTGAGGGTAGAGTCCACCTTGAAGGTAGAGTCCACCTTGAATCCACCTTGAAGGTAGAGTCCACCTTGAGGGTAGAGTCCACCTTGAGGGTAGAGTCCACCTTGAGGGTAGAGTCCACCTTGAGGGTAGAGTGCACCTTGAGGGTAGAGTGCACCTTGAATCCACCTTGAGGGTAGAGTCCACCTTGAGGGTAGAGTCCACCTTGAGGGTAGAGTCCACCTTGAGGGTAGAGTGCACCTTGAGGGTAGAGTGCACCTTGAGGGTAGAGTGCACCTTGAGGGGAGGGTAGAGTCCACCTTGAGGGTAGAGTCCACCTTGAATCCACCTTGAGGGTAGAGTCCACCTTGAATCCACCTTGAGGGTAGAGTCCACCTTGAATCCACCTTGAGGGTAGAGTCCACCTTGAATCCACCTTGAGGGTAGAGTCCACCTAGAGCAGGGGCGCCCACTATTTTTCGTCTGGAGATCTACTTTTCAAATGACGAGCTCATTGAGATCTACCAACGAAAAAACACCTGCATTCAGGGGCGGGACGGGGGGTGGCGGTGCATTGAGGTCAATGGCACCGCAGCCAGGCTCCGCAGGCAGGCCCCTCGCCCACAGTGCGATCGCCTGCATGAGTGCTTGTGTTCCAGTCCAGTGCAATCCGCAAAAATGCTGCGAGCACTATTTTTGCAGATCGCACTGGAATGCACTAATGTTCCTGCGTTCCGAGTGCGGGCGATCGAAATGTGGGCGATGCCATTGACTTCAATACAGCTCCACACCCCCTCCCGCACCTGAACGCAGGGAGTCGGCCGGCTTACATTCCAGTGCGCCCTACATGTCCCGGCGTCCTGTCCTCCCGTGGTGCTCGTGTGGCCGACATTGCACATGGGGTGTCCTGCACCTTTCCATCTGCAG